GGACTATTGCACCCAATTCTATTACCAATGGCATATTGGAAGCAAGTAAACATAGACTTCATTACATGTTTATTGCAAAGGCCTCATAATTATACCACAATTGTTGTCTTTATGGACCAACTCTCGAAGTAACTTCACTTGATTGTAGTACAATGTGATATTGATATCCTAGCACTTGCATGAGTTTTCTTTGACACTATCATTTATCAACATGGATTATTTTGTGTCATCATTTCAAATTGAGATACGTGCTTTACAGAGAATTTTTGATAGGCCTTGTTTAAGCTATTAGTCACATGACTTGCCATATCTATGATCTTTCATCTTTAAATAGATGGACAAACAGAGCATACAAATCGGACCTCAGAAGATATGTTATGAGAATTTGTGGCAATTTATTATAATGATTGGAATGAATATTTGACACCTTTGGAATTTCCTTATAATGATACTATTTAACCAAGTACCAATTATTCATCATTCTTCTTTAATACCAGTCAGCATCCAATTACACCAACAACTCTCTATCATTCTATCAATATTAATAACTTGACAACTCAAAAGAGTTTATAAAATGGCTTATAATTATATTTTAGAAAGTATGGAATTACCTCTTTATTGCATAAAATTGACAGAAGTAATATGCAGATAACCACCGACAGTATAAGACCTTTTGAAAGGATGACCAAGCATTACTTCTCAATGGCAACTTTCCACTTACTACATCAATCCAAGTCCATAAGATGGCACCTCATTAGCTTGGATCTTTTTGTATTTCTACGATAATTTCTAATGTTGTATATTGCCTCAAGCTTTCGCCACATATTTGGATCTATCCAATCTTCAACATATTGTAGCTCAAGGAATTTCATACTAGACTAAGGCGCTTCTTCAATCGACACCAACCACCATCACCATTGGTTGTCATTGATGACCAAAAAGAATATGAAATAGAAAATATTTTGGAGCATCGCTACCTTTGTCATGGCAATAGACATTCATAACTTCAATACAAAGTCCTTTGAAAAGGCTATCCTATTTATAATGCAACATGAAAACTTGTACAAAACCTCATCTATTGTCAAAAAATAATCTAAAAATACCATCGAGAGTGAAACGAGGACGTTCCATATTAGTAGAGGGAGATTAATTGTAACACAACATTGATAAGATAATTATATTACTAACAAGTAGAGATAGATAATTGAGGCCATTTTTTAAGAAGTTTTTAGAAGTTTTTAGAATTGAAAATAAGTTGGTGATTTATGTAGGATCCACTATGAAACATCCCAGAAGAATTAAGGGGGGTTATTTAAGTAGAACCTATGTCTAGAACCTTTTAAGAGGGTATTTATCAAAGTGGATCCACCTCTAAAATATACTAAAAGAGTGGTTATATTGACAAGGCTCACTATTATGGATATTCTAAAGAGTTCCAAAATAGTTAAACAAAGTATAAATAAGACTAAGTATACCATTTAGAATATTTGGTCAAGTATGGCTTTGGTTTCTTTCTCTTAATAAAGTTTGGTATGTATTTTTTGTTCTGTTCTATTTTATTTCTTTTTGCTTTGATTTATCTTTCATATTCTATTATATTTAGTTTTGTTTAGTTTTATTCTCGTCCATTTTGTCCTACTTTGTAATGGAATTTATATTACTATAGATTAGAAGGATTTTAGATTTTTAATAGAATTCAATCTTGTTTCAGTAAAGATAGTAATACATTTAGGCTAATATGTCTAAAAACCAAGAAGATCATTAAGAATCATTATGTAGAGTGTTTTGAAGCATAAGAATACTTATGAGCACTTGAAGATATTTTCAAGTAGGAGTAATGATATGTTTATAGATACATTTTTAATTTCAACAAAGAAAAAAATAATAATAATGACAATGAAAATAGTAGATATATAAATCAAAATGAAGAGTCAATGAAGATAGATCGAAGTATATCTACAATTTTTAAAATGAGAAATGAAAACAATCAAGATATTGAACATGATGATGATGAGTACTAGCCTTTGAATATGAAAAACCAAATTTTAAGAAAGAAGGTTATAAGAGACCATAGAATATATGAATCTATCTTCAACAAGTGAAAGGAAATATTCTATGAGAGAAAAAAAAAACTTTGAGAATAGTGGAAGAACCACATCATTCTTGAAATAAGTGAAGACAATACTAATATTCCATTCTTTATTGATTCATTGAATTTGTAAAAATACAATGAAGTCCACGGATGCTATGAAGTAAAAAAGGGCCATGGAAGAAGAATACAAATTATTTATAGACAATGGAATATGGAAATTGACTCAAATTCCATCAAATTTAACTTTAATTGGTTGTAAGTGGAAGTTTAGAACTAAAATAATATAATAGAAAATATTATGAGATACAAAGCTAGATTGCTTGTTAAAGAACACAAGTGTTGATTTCAATGAGACATTTGCTTCCATGGCCAAATTCACCACTATTAAAACTATTATGACAATTGAGGCAATAATAGACTTGAAGATGTATCAAATGGATTTGAAGATAGCTTTTTTGAATAGAAATTTGAAAAATGACATCTACATAGATCAATCTTAAGGATTTTTTGAAGAAGACAAACAACATCTTGTTTGTAAGTTAAAAGAATTCTTTTTGAGGATCAAACAATCACCAAAGACATGATACTATGATATTCATACATGCTTTGTGAATGAAGGATTTATTAGAAGCAAGATTGATGATTCTTTATATGTGATGTAATTAAATGAGTTCTTATTGATTCTCATCTTCTATATTAATGATTTGATCATTTTAACCATTACCTTAAAGATAATAGATTGTTTTAATACAAAGTTATAAAAGGAGTATGAGATGAGTGATTTGGAAGAGCTTCACTATTTTTTGGGGGTAGAATTTATAAGAGATTATATTGATAAGACCATTATAATGAACCAAAGTAAGTATATTGAAGATGTCTTGAAACAATTCAACATATAAGAATGTAAGCATATTAGAATACCTTTAGAAGCCAATTTGAAGTTGATGAAGTTCATGGATGATGAATTTGCTGAAATTGAAGGTGAAATATAAGGTATTCCATACAAAATAGCAATGGACTCACTTATATATATTTAATAGTTAGCACAAGGATAGATCTTGCATATGAGATGAATGTTGTGAGCCAACACATGTCAAAGGCTAGATGAATCTATTGAACAACCATCAAAAAGATCATGAGGTACTTAAAAAAACTTTTATACTTCAAATTGTGCCTTGGAGGAAATAATATTTCTTTGTATGGTTATTGTGATGTAAATTGAATTAGAGATACAAATAATAAAATATTAAGAATAGAATGTGTATTTTTTATTAGAATAGGAGCTCTTTTATGGAATTACAAGAAACAATGAACAATTTTAAGGTCCATAATAAAGGTGTACTATATGGCAATAAGCCATAGTGCTATAGCAGTAATATGACTAACATAACTTTTATTGGACATTGGAGTAGTACAATTGGAAGCAACTTTAATAAAGTGTAATAATAAAAAAAATATCTTACTTTTACAAAGAATCCAAAACATCATTCAAGAACTAAACTTATTGGCATTCACAATCACTTCATATGAAAGAAAATTAAAATAGGAGTGATTGATATGAAGTATTGTGCAATGGAAGACATGCTTGTTGATTTGTTGACAAAGAAATTAAGATTGAAATCCTTTGACTAATAACAAAGTAGAAGTGTTGAAGTAAGTAAAAATAAAAATGAATATAGAATAAGTTATCTTATAGATGATATTATCTTAGATAAATTAGTAATAGTCAAAAGATTGGCTCTTAGTATGTAGATGTCATAGATATACACATGTAAATCAATAATTACCTAGATGATTAGATAAAAATAAGTAAAAATAAATTAATTCTATAATATCTTCTATAGAAGCTTCTTAAAAGCTTCATAGATGTTGCTTTGACTTTATATGTATTTATAATTGATCTTTTAGGTTAGAAACATGGTTAATAAATTAATCATGTGCCACATATGTTGGTGGCTTGAAGAACAAGCTAATTATGTGGCATGCACATAGAAAACTTATCTTGTAAGCTAAGGCATGTGTCTTGTAAAGTCAATACATATTATGTCCTATAGAACATCGCTACCTAGCTCCTAGTTAGATAGTACATATAGAAGAAAGAGTGAAGCTCTCTTCACTCTTGTCAATTTCTTTCTTACTTCTAGTCTAGATTTAAGAGTTTCTAGTTTTCTTGTCTTTTTGCAATAACCATTACAATTTCTTTTTAATATACATTTTTCTTTATTTCTATTTTGTTATACTTGTTTAATTATTTTCATCAAGTTCTTATTTCTAATAGTAGAAAGGCCAAAAAATAAGGTAGATGAATGATTAAAGAATCTTAGGAGTATAAAAGATATATTAAAAATATATTCTTATAATAGATAAAATATCAATAGATAGTCTCAATAGAACCTTGAATGGATGTATTCATCAAAGAATGGAATTGTCCATTAAAGCAGCAGTTACTACCTATAAGTAATAGGAATTGGAAGTAAGAGTTATCTTATTTTATATTATCTTTGTATGTAATCTTGTTGATGCTATATACTATGACTTTAAAGTTCTCTTTCTTCAATAAAGTGTATAAACCAAAATCTTCCTATAAAAAAAGATAAAGATAGCAAATAGAACCATATTTTATTAACCTACTCTTAATTCTAAATAAAAAAATTGGTCTTTGATTTTGATATTAATTGGACTTTTTTGGCATTTTTTAAACTTAAGGTGACTTGCAAATGAATCTACACACAAAAAATATACCACTACTATGTGAAGGAGAAAGAAAAAGGGAAAAAAGGAAAAAGAAAAAAGAAAAAAATATTAATATCCCAGACGTGAAAAGAGGAAACTTTCTGTGGTACCAAACAACTAGTGGTCGGCGACCTTGGGGATGGGGTCCTTCAGCCCTGCTCCACTCTTGTCATGTAGCAAAATTGGCTTCGAAATTTGGTTTGCTTGTGACAAATGTCGAATCGGGGCCTCCCCCCATTCTCACCACTTGTCCCCTCTCACAATGCCCCGACTTCTGCAACTGACTGGCATATCTCGCCATTTTCAAGCTTCATGACCTCATGGGGAATTCCTTTTTTCCAGGTGGGTTGCGATAATTGTCGATGGATTGTGCACTTCTGATGTAAAGGCAGCGAAATCTCACTTGAAATAGTGTCTTTTGATGACGTATTGATGTGGGATTGTATGAAGAAGTTTGATTCTGTGCTTCATTGATAGGCGTTGGAGTTGGTGGATATGGTGATCTTTGGTTGGAATTCGACAATGTTGGGAGCGAGAGGAGAGTGATTTAGTGGATTAATGGGTTTGAGGGAGTTTGTGTTTGAATTAGGGTTGTTGAGAATGGGTTTTTATTTAGGGTTTGAAAGCAGCTTCAGCTTTCGGAATGTTACAAGGATTTAACTCTCGGCTAGTTTGAGGTTTGTAATGAATGCTGGTGTTTGGAGATTATCCTGGCACTCTCATGTTTTCTGCTCGAGTGTGAATACTTTTACAGAGCATTTATTTGTAGGATTAGTAAGATATTCAATCCTCCGTCGGTTTTCGAATTCCGGTCAGCAGAAATTGGAACTTTGCTCTGAGTCAGTGGGAAACCCTTATTGAAGTTGATGTTTTGTGATTTTGATTACAAGTAATTTCTGGAAGGGACCGGGAAGGATTTAAGTTTTTGTGAGTTGAAATTGCGTTGAAGCCCGTTCGGCTAAATTTGGCTCTGTGGGACGTTCAGTGATTGAAATGGCATTCAATGCGGTTCGTGTTCCAGATTCATTGGCAGCAGACGCAAGAGCACTATCAGAGTGAGTCATAGAGGTCACAAATCATGTGGAGCAACAAACGCAGAGAGAGCGAGACTGACAGGCGGAAGCGGACACGAGTGGAGGGGAGAGAGAATCCTAATGATGACAATGTTAAGAGACAAGCAGGGCTTTGGATGGTATTCTTTTTGGGCGCCGCTGCAGTAAGTGTTGCTATCTCCAACTTTGCGTCGCTTATAGCTTCACTTAATTGGAGCCCTAAACCATGTAGGCGATCCTGAAGCGTCGACATCTGAGGCGCCTCAAATTACCTTGAGTCTCTGTCACAGTTTCAAAAGCTTCTGCATCAAGCTCTGTATAGAAACCTGCGTGTTCGGGACTTGGTTGGATTTTTTCTGTTTCGTAACCGTTACATACTAGATTTTCGTAGTCATCTTTTTGTTCAGATCAGCTAACACTATTTTGAGCCGTGCTGAATTTTTATTATGAACTTATATAGGAGCACATCTATGCATCTTGCTTCTTATCTAGTCACAGTTAATTCTCGAGCCTGGTACTCATTACGAAATATGTAGCACATATCATCATTATTTCTGCTCATCTTAAGAAAAAATAGAAAACTAGCCTTTGGGACGCAGATTGTTAGCTGCTGTTATGATCTCTAATGTTGAAGTTATCCATTTAAAAGATGAGGTTTTCAGGAATACGGGTTGTCATGCATTTTAATCTCTGTTGAATGGTAGAAAATAAAAGCAAAAATTGGTTGTCTGTGTACAGGTTGGGAATATGTTTGCTCTTAAAAGGCGCCTATTGAACATTGAACGGCACTCTGCTCGGGTATTTTCCTATCTTTATTTGCCCCTCGCAACCAGTTCCGTAATCCGTTACCTGAATGAATGATTATTTAGTATCGTGTGAAGGGGCTATGACTGAACTAACATGGTAAGCTCTTTGTTGGATTCTAGAATTGTCACAGTTCACAATCTCATGGAGAACATAACACTTCTGGCCGATACAATAGAGCGTACCAGAGCGCCAGCGGGAGTCAAACGAACTACGAGGACAGGACTGCTCAAGAAGCTCAAAGGCGATGGCGAGCTCATTTAGATGAGCAACAGCGTGTGGTATAGCTACTTCATACCAAATTTAATTTCAGATTTTCAATTTGTTTTAGATGGTGGAGGCTATACCGATCTTTACGTTTTTTTTATTCTTTTATTGCATTTCCAACAATTTTGGAGATGTCGGGATACTGAGATAAGGTGTTGTGCATTGAAAGAAAAGAGTAAATGTAGCACCTGGAAGAACACTTTGTTGCAGCGATCGTTTGGTTTCCAAATTGGAAGTGAGGCTCAACTTGCTCAAATTGTTGCTAAATGTGTTGAGAACACAAATTTTATCCTGTCAAATCCACGTTTTTTTCGTTGCAATATTTTTTTGAGTATATATTGTGCTTACTTGAGGCACATTTGGGAACATTCGTTCTATGTCGTCCAGTCTAGTAGAAGTGATGGATTCCCTTCCTGTCGTACAGGAACGCATTCGCCGAATGAAAGAAGCTTTCGCTCGAGAGAAAGTCTCCCAAGCGAATTCCTACAATCCTTGGAGTGAGCGTCGTGGTGACAAATGGGACTGGAAATTTGAGGGTAATCGATGGGAATGGAAAGGTGACGAGCAGAGGGAAAAAGCACAACAAGAACAGGATTGGCAACGAAATCAAGAGAAAAAGAACATGAATAGCTACGAGCTTCTTAAGCGTGCAAGGCTCGCGTATCACTTCACCGTGCTGGGGCTTGATGCTACTCGACCTCAACCATACTCTGATGCTGATATCAAGGCAGCCTTTCGGTCGAAAGCCTTTGAGTATCATCCGGATCAAAACCCAGGTAATGTCCAAACGGCTGAAGTTAAGTTCAGGCAGCTGTTGGAGTCGTATCATTTGCTTAAGAGTCAACTAAAGCTTAAATAGGCTTCAGAATTATGGTTAGTTGTAGTGGAATTTATTGAAACGTATTCAGGTCCAACTATCATGTAATTTAGTGACACTAATAACGATTTTTTTATTTTATCGAAGTCCAAAGTGGGCATGAATTCTCACATGCGATGTGGCGTTGATTTTGTGAAGTTGGGTTTTGCAATGACCAAGTTTAATGTCTATTTTAATTCCTAGCAGTGTAACGTTGTTGATGACTAGTCAACTCTGCAACGCTTACTTTCTCTGCCTTGGATATCTTTGTAAGCTGAAATCATAACTCATGTTCGAACAAATATCTTATGCACGAATAAGCTGTGTGGGGTCCTTGATGAAGGTCTTTTTTTTCTGTTGATTGTACTGCATGGTACTGTGTGGTACAGGATGTGCGTGTAGCAGAGTTTGCTGGCTTTACGTAGTGTTGTATTCAAAATACTTGCCAGAAGATAGGTTTGTTTGAGCTGTATGAATTCTGTAAATGTGCTGAAAACCCTGCGATAGCTCTAACTGCCATAATGTTATCTTCAGAATTTGATATGCCATGCTTCGAACATCCAAAGCTCTGCTGGGTGTGACGGAAGCTAAGACTAGGACATGCTGGTCTGCTAAAGACATTCTGGGGAATGCTGGTGTTACAACACGTTTGTTTTACTCGAATTGCTGATCAGGAGTCTGAGTTAACTCTAAAAAATTTCTCATTCTTTTATGCTATATGATACCATAAGAATATCACGATCCTTTATGTAACAGAATACTTCCCTCTTAGAACTTCAAACTGAATATGACAAGTGAATGTACCATTGAATTCCCAAAGCTGCACATTCTCATCTGCTCAAGCTCAACAGAATGTACGTGCAGTGAATGCTGTAAATATTAGGAGGTCAAAAGAGGAGAATGGATTGAAGAATTACCTGAGAAAAAGTATTGCTACTGCCATCACAACTTGCCCTCCAGTACACCCTTAGTATACTACTCAACCGAATGTAGTAGTCATCAAAACGTTTTATCATAATTTCATAAAACTTGCAAGACCATCTTTTGTACTTAGGTAATCAAAGTGCCAGTGTTAGCAATGTCAAGCTCAATGAGAAAGAAAAATAGTTCAAAAAGTTGTTTGGACAATGATAGACATGTTGTTGGTAATAGCAAAAACTATTATTACATTAGCAATATCATAAAACGATAATACAATCAAACTAAGCCTTATAAGTGTTAACATGAGTAAAGTTTCAAGAAAATGTAACTTCTTTATGAGGAGGACTTAGTATTTAGAGCCATAGTGGAATAGATATCCAATTAGAACCTAAGATGAACTAAAAAGCAAAATGGCTACTTGTATAAGAATATTTTTATAAACTTCAATCCTTCAACTTTGTCAAATTGCTTATAAATGATTTTGTGTTTTTCTTGTAAAATCCACATCCTTAACCTTTAATCCCTTCTACCAAAAAATTAGAAACTTTCAACAATTGATTGCCCGTAAATAAACTACTCACAAAGTTTAATGCAACTATTCAACATCTATATTCATAAACATGCATAGATGATAGACAGATGAAGTAAACAGAACAAACTATAAGTTAGGTGATTGTTTCGCAAAGTTGGTATTTAAAAGTCTACTTTTATAGGCCATGTATCAAAAGCCTTATCAAGGTTCCTTAGTTCATGAAAAAAACTGTCTCCTTTTGAAGTTTTGGCTTTTGAATATATATATATATATATATATATATATATTTGAAGTTATTAAACTATATTATAGAACAAACACAATAATAGTTATTTAATTTTTATTTTATCAAAAAAATTATAGATTAAAAATTGGGCATCAATAGAGATCCAATCTATTAGAAGAGAATTAAATCACATGTATTCTCCAAAGAAATATGTTCTAATGCATTTCTATGCCAAAGAGTTCTTGTAAATTCTTTTAACAAAAAAATAACATCATATTTTTCCAAATGACATTATCCACCCAACTCCATGTATTTTAATACATTAAGTCAAAACCCAATTAAATTAACAAAAACATACTTAATCATAAAATTAAAATAACAAGTGAAGAAAAAGAACCATCCAAACACCCACAAAGTACACAAGAACCCACACGAGTCGTCTATCAATGGCGTCGTTGCAGCAGCAGCGTGGCCGAGAGTGCTACGTCGCCGCCTGGAGGAATCGAGACCCGTGAAACGGCCTCGAATGAGGGGTTAGCAGATCCTTGCAACGATCTCGTGGGGATCCTCCGTTCAATTCAATTCCTTCCTTGCTTCCTTCGCTCACTTGGGTTCCTCCTTGATCCGTCTCTTCCTGCCAATGCCAGTTGTGTTTTGGGTGAGATTTGTTGTTACGAGACTTTGAGCCATGAGTTTTGCAGCAGATTGCGCGTTGTGGGGAGCATGCTACAAAGCTGTTGTTGTTGTTGGGTGTTGAGAGAATCGTGGGATGAAGATGAGTTACTGCGGAAAATTGATGACTGCCTTTAGAGTGCGGCCGTTTCAGGGTTTTTGAGTGATCACCGTGTTACGGGAGGTGTTGGGAGAGGTCAATTTGAGTGTTGTGTCTCGAGTGTTGGCTTCGTGGGTGATCGTCTGTTACTCGCAGCTATGGCGCAATCTGCTGCGGTTTCGTCTGCTTTGTTTTGTGGGAGAGTGGGTGTCACTCAAGCTCAATGGCTTTGTCTTTCTCGATCTTTGCCTTCTTCGGGTGCGTTTGGAAAGCACGCGCCTCGCTTGGATGTGAGTTTTCTTTAATTTGCCCCTCGTATTCCACTTTTATCAGTGCCGCAGGAATTTTTAATGTATGCAAGTCGTTGCTAGGGGTTAAGAAAGTTTTGTTGACAGGTTTTGAGCAAGAAACTGCGAATTTCGAGTGGTGAGAACCTCCTGAGACCAGCATATCAAGGATGGGTATGGAGCACCAAGGCACACGATAGCAAAGACAACGTCTCTACCTCTCCCGTTCGATCGTCACAGACACCGTCTTTCCCTCCTCCTGATCTTACAACGTCTGAAGGCCTAGTTGGGGAGGATGCTGCTGCATTTGACGTCTCCAGCCAAAAGACCTCCTCCTGGTTGCTCTTTACAGCAATTCTGGGAGTAGTCCTTGCGATTCTTTACGTGGCTTGGATTGACCCTGAAACAGGCTACGGGGGTGCATATATTGATTCAATTTCTGCACTCAGCGACAGTCATGAGGTAAGATAATTCTCATTTTGATTAACAATTGGCCGATCCTCTTAGTATCTAGTAATTGCAATTTGTGCCGACCAGTTTCTTGTGTTTTTTATTCGGATTGAGGATACCGTAGTTGTTTGCAGGTGGTAATGATGATTATACTGTTTACATTTGCTTTGGTTCATAGCGGACTGGCAAGCCTGCGTGGAGCAGGAGAAAAATTGATCGGCGAAAGGGCTTATCGTGTACTGTATGCCGCATCGTCTCTCCCTCTTGCGGTATCTGCTATGGTAAGCGTCCACGCTACAGCCAGTTTATTAAGACGAGCAATCATTCTCACAATCCAAATTCAATTCTTAGAACGTTAATGTATTCCTCAAGGTTTTTGTTTTTAACTCTCGCGGCACTTAGCTACATTTTTGTATAGTGTTCTCATGGTGCATAATAAGCGATTGACAATGTACAACGAGTCATTCGAGCTGGCTGAGAGCGGAACTTTGATTTGTTTTTTAATTCAGCAATTATAAGCCTACATTTTGGCACTGTTGTGACTTTCTCGGGGTGTTAGGAAATTCTTAAGTTGTCAAATGAATTGATATGCGTGGTGAGGTGCTCGGTTTGTTTCGGGTTTTGTTTCTTGCATGACTTTGCGAGGGCACCAAATGAGCAACGTAGAGTGTTTCTATCAGGTTTAGCGCATTTAGCACGTGTTTAAATGCTTTATAATGTGTTACCAATATTGCTCAAAGATGTTAAGCAAAGAGTTATGATTGAATTTTGCAGTGGAGGGTGGGTGTTTAGACAGAACCAAGTCAACTCCAACAGTGTATCTAGTGAAGATTACCTTGGTAATTCTAAAATGGATTTCAAAGCATTAGGACGCAGGAGAGTTGGCTCTATTGGAGCACGAAATATTCCATCTTGGTTACAATTAACACTCACATCGTTGTGGTCTGTATTTTAATTCTAAATTTGAAAATTGTGGTTCAGGTTTACTTTATAAACCACAGATACGACGGCGTGCAGCTTTGGGATTTTCGCAGCGTCTTTGGTGTGCGTGAAATGGTTTGGGCAATGTCGTTCATCTCTTTCTTCTTTTTATACCCTTCCACGTTTAATTTGCTTGAGGTTGCTGCTGTTGATAAGCCCAAGGTACACATGTGGGAGACTGGTATAATGCGGATCACCCGACATCCACAGGTTTTTCTTTTGCCCTCTTCCTGAATTCCTTGTCTGAATTTATGTCACGTTAATAGGATTTTTTAGCTTGTTTATTTGAACTTAATGGATTCAATTTTTGTGAAGGAATCTAGAGCTTGTTTTGTCTCAATATATTGAAATTTTCACAAGATTATTCTATTCTCATCCCACTTTAATATAAAAGAATAATGGTCGTGTCAGATTCCTCCACCTATAAGACAGGAAAGGATTCTCAACCTCTCTACAATCCACTTTCATACGATTGGCTATTTACATGCAATTGGGTGGGACCGTTGGAACAGATGGTGGGACAGTTTCTGTGGTGTTTTGCGCACACACTTTGGATAGGAAACTCCTTCACAGTGACTACTTCAGTTGGCTTACTTGCGCATCACCTCTTTGGAGTCTGGCACGGGGATAAACGTCAATCAGAACGACACGGAGAGGCTTACAATACTCTGAAAGAGCGGACCAGTGTCTTCCCTTTTGCTGCTATACTAGATGGTCGTCAGAAGCTGCCACCTGATTATTACAAGGAGTTTCTCAGAGTTCCCTACTTTGTAATTGCTGGGTTGACTCTTGGGGCTTATTGGTCCCAGCCATTTTTACAAAGAGCAAGCCAACATCTGAGGTGGTGAATGGAGCTTTGCTATGGAAGTGCCCCTTCGTAGGAACGTGAACTCTACAGCATGCATTTTATTCAATAAGTGAATCGCGTAAGCATGCAAGTTGTGATGACAATTTTTGTTCATTTGGTAAACAAGAACCAACTTGAATAATATTCACGATTGGCATGATCGAAGTGTCCATGAGATTTCAGGGATCTTAGTTGAAGAGCCTGGTACTAGTCATCGGTTTGTTGCCTCCTGTTGGGGAGGTTGACCCTATATACTCTCCACTCCTATTTTTTGAGAAGAGAACGATTCTTCTTCCTGAAGGGACGCGTTCAGCTTCCGACATGGTTAAGAAGGTGACTAAGTCACTCAGGAGCCCCACCATGATTGGGTAAACCGTGGTGGTAGCATCTACATGGCGTGGAGGTTTCGGCGAAGACTTCTTCCTAGATTTCCTGGAGAAAGTAGTGTGTGCTGTCAGGATACAATCTTTTGTCTAAGATCTGCTGTTAAGATCTGCTTACACAATACCTTCAATTGAAAAAACTTCATGTTCATTTCGTTGGCAGAGTGATGTGAAACGCAGATGAGGGCAGATCTGCCCATCTTGCAGTGATTCTTCGTGTGCTTGCCCGCTTTGCACAACGTCTGAAAGCCGAGTTTTCAGGGCTCAGAAGTGACCCGCTACATCTTCCTTGAAATTGCTCTCTTTGCATCACCAAGCATGGAAATCTGGTAAGTAGTTGCCTTCGATCTTTCCTCCTGTGTTTCTTCTACTGTACATCCAAAGGCATGACAGATGTGTACCCGTGACGTACATTCCAAGCGTTACCCCATGCGCGTGAGCATTGGTTTCAAGTCCGATTGTGGGATGTGAGAATTGGTGTATTGAACCTTGCGTTACGAAGTGGCTAACACCAAGCTTCGCACATTGCCATCTCGTTCAGCACCTCTTTGTGGCATGAAGTGGTTTTAATACAACATGAACTAATTCAAACTCTGATTTCATGGAACACTAATTGAGGTTTTGGTGTTTTGCGTTAATAAGAACGTCCTTTCTAGCTTTGCTTTTAAGTGATTTTCATTCAATCTTATAACTTCAAATTTTTTTCGTTGAATATCAGTGGAATTTCTTACAAATTCAAGAGTCTTCTCATGTTCATGATATTACTAAGAATTACGTTATGTAACGTTCAAACAAGGATTTTTAAAAACATTATAAATGGAGTTAGTCAACCCCAGTTCGTAATCCCCTCGACTAATAGAAATGGTGCACATTTTCCGAGGTCAACGCATCGCACAGAGCATGAGGGAGGTTCAAGAGAGGTGAATGAAAGAAAGGGGGGAAGCGTATCGTGGCCCAACTCCAGACACGAACCCAGAGCCCAGAGCCCGGCGCGCCTGTGAAGCATCACTTCTTTCACCTCATGTCCCTCCGCTTGGCGTGACCCATTTCAAGACGCTAATCCTGTGCAGCTTTTTTGGGTCCTGTCGCGGGGATCTCGCACCATCCAACATTGGATGTGTCGATGGTGTGAGATCGGTGTGTGCTTTTAGCCACTCGCAACCGTCACTCTTTGGCTATGTTTCTTTGCCGGTGCCATAACACCCCACAAGAAGTTAACCACTTTGCGGTTTGTGGGTACTTTGTACTTATCAGCATTTCGCGCCGCCCATTATTGACTCAAGCTCAGACTGTAGGATCGGAATCTCTCTCACCGTTGAACATCCGATTTCTCTCGCTTTCATTCTGCATGCATACATCGCTTGGCATCTTTGAAGAAATCCGGGATAACAGAAAAATCACAACTGCCCACATCTCTGCTTCATTTGCGCTCTACTAAAGTCCCATAGACGCCGCCTCTCGGGCTTCAACCACCTTGGGCAAGCAGCAGCAGGACGAGGAAAAAAGCCTCCAGAATGCTCCACTAGCTTCAGTTTATCCACATTTTGGGTGTCCAAGATCTTAAACAGTTAGTTTTAGGGTTTGAGGGTGTCAGGATATTAGGGTTTCAAAGAATGATTGTGAGCAGTGGGTGCAAGCCTAGCTTCCCATTTATTCCCACTCAGCTTTGCTGTGGGTACATCCCATCAAGACCCCATCAAATCTCCACTGAAGTTGCCCATAAATCATATTCCCCATAAAGTCTCTGTTATGCTTTTTTACCCATACACATCCCATCAACCCTTAACCAAGGCTTCCATCAAAACACACTTACAAAATATGTTGTATGATGTGCCCCCAACAAGTTTGCTTGTACATATATTCCTTAGAGATCCCATCAAACTTATTTCAATCATTCCCATAAATATGTCCCTTGATGGAATGTGTTTCATGATCCCAAACCCTAATTTTATTCTCTTTTAATATATATATATATATATATATACATATTTATTTATTTATTTATTTATTTATTTTGTTGTTTTTGTTGTTGTTGTTTCTCTGACTCTCCTTTGTCTTAAACCAAAGTGTGGTTTGATGATCACCTTCTCCTTCTTCCACATGCAATTTTGAATGAAGTGATTTGTTTTCTATTTCTGTCATGGCTTGTGGTGAAATTTAATATTGAAGTTTTGTGAGTGGCAACCTTGAATGTAAAGCAGTTTTGAAAAGTAATTTGCTTTGAATGAAAGGAGAGAATGCTCTTCTTTGTTCAATGTCCTTTGTAAGGATTCACAACACTCAAGTAATTCAAATTACTTAAGTGTCATTCTTTTGACCCTAGTGTCATGAAAAGAAATCAACTGTACTTTCATATCAAAACTTTAACTAACTTATTTCTTACTCATTTTGTGTATGTTTGCCAAGGTATTGGGTATGATACTTGTTGAATAGTTTGTTTTTGTTTTTTTTTGTTTTTGTTTTTTTGTTTTTGTTTTTAATATTTTTAAGGATTTTTTTTTTTTTTTTTTTTTTTTTTTGCAATTCATTAAAAACAAGTAATTTTATAGTATAAAAAGTAAACAACATCAACAAGAGTACAAGTAAATTTTATCATATATTGTACTAGACAATAGTTACAATTTTTGTCTGTTCAGCAGTCTTAGTTTTACATGCTTTGTCTTTCAAAAAGCGCACATGTAAGAAAAAATAAATACAAATAAGATTATGAGACCTAAACATGAAATTGTTATTATTTTACAAATGGGTTAGAATTCTGTGAAACCAACACAATTCATTTCCAATTCTAATTTGAAACTTGATACTTGAAAAATTGAATGTATTGAAAATACAAATATACACATATGTATGTATATATATATGTATATATATATTCATACATACATACATACACACATACCTTACTAATCAAACTTGCAAAAAGTAGAAAAATGGTAAAGATAAAATTAAGACTATTCATTGGTAGAATTCCATGGGGCACACCTCCTTTGTCCCAAATCCACCAACACAAAAAAGTATCTAAAAGGTAATTTTGGCTTTCACATCCTCAACACCCAAAGGAAGTACCTCTCCACCCATTTTGTCACATTCATGGATGTTGTTGGCTACACTTTGCCATAGTGATAAAGCCCTTCACATGATCCTTCATTATTATAATTATTATATATTATATTGACTTCCCTCAACCTTTTCTAAAACAAAAACAAAAACAAAAATTATGTATCTAAGAGTGTATGTTTTTTTGTCATAGAGAATAGGCTCAGTGGCAAAGAAAGTCATGTCAAATGTCCCAGCTTTGCAGTCTTCTGTTCACCTAAGCCATCAGAAGATGGTGATTCATGTGGAGACAAAAACCTTCAGAAAAGATGCCTGGTTCAGTTAGTACTGCACAAGATTTCCTCAATACAAAAATGCCAAATTATTTTGGTAGGTTCAAACAAAACAGAGATTGCATTGAAGTGCAATGTGACTGGATGAATCTGAGGATCATATGCATACACATGCATGTGTGTGTGTGTGAGTGAGAGACTGGATGCTGAAGAACAAATACAAATATTGATTTCTATCTATTTTTATATTTCATCGATGGACTAGGATTGGTTTTTCAGCTACCTTTTGGCACTTAGGGGACACAGTGAAAGGGTGCAGCTTTTTAAATTCTTTGATTGGCTGAAGTTGAGAAGTTTCTAAGTTTTGCTTCTAAGTGTCATATATTACAATACTTCATTACATGTAGTCAAAAAAGTCACACACTCTGCAAATAGACTGGCAATCAACAAAAATCCTCCAATTCATGCCCATGACAACCATCACTAAGATTTAATCACAACATTGATTAGTTTAAAAAAACTCAGGAAGTCTTATCAAAAGAATCAAACATTCCGTCCTCAAACCAAAACCCAGCCGCTCTGCTCACTAATGCAAACCACATGACAATCAGGAATGTTATCCCACTTTTTTTTTTTGGGGGGGGGGGGGATGAGAACAAAGGGCCAGTGAAGGTTCCCTCTGAGCCCCATCCCATGCCCAGCTCCAGTAGAAATAAAAAAGTTCATAACAATAAAAAAATAAAGTACCCACCTGCAAAACTACCTGCGCCCTTCTTCGTCCCCTCTGTCAATCCACCCCACACCCCCCACATCCAACGCAGTCAAATATGAAAAACAACAGGGGTGTGAGTTCCAAGACTATCCAAAGGCCTGTTGGATTGTACAGAAACCCCTCTCCTCACCTCTCACACTCTCTCTCCCCACTTTCCAAGACGGGGCTGGCCCTGGCGTCCCACCCAATCCGCCCGTTTTGTCGGAGGTCGAGGAATCCAACCCATTCGCTCGGGTCAGCGCTCCTTTCCTGCTCTTCTTTGTCGTCTTCTTCTCCTTCCTCTCGTGCCCTCAAAATCCTCTCCCAGATCACGGGCAGGGCCAATGTTCCGTTTGTGGAGAGACCTGCTGGACGATCCCGGGAAGCATGGCCACGGAGAAGAGGTGAATACCATCTCTCGCTGTACAGCACGAGCACGAGGTTCAGCGATGTCCGCTTCCTTTCGGCGCGATGGCTGTTTTTGATATGGCCTGAAGTGAGGTCGTAGTAGTATGCGACGGGATTCCGCAGCTGTGGTGGTTTCGAGGGGGCGGGAGAGGTTGGTGACGGGGAGGGCGGCGCGTTGGTGTACTTGCTGCGGTAGCTCTCACATACTCCTGCCCGGATGATGAATTCTGTTTCGGAATTTGAGAATGTGGAGGTTTTTTGGGGTTGTGGTGTGAGGCCGGAGCGCATGAAGTGAAGCCTGTCGAGATGTGGGACGCAGAGGTGAAGGGTGGGGAGAGGTTCTAGACCATGGGTACGATTGTAGCTGCTGCTTTTGGGTAGCTTTGAGAGAGGGTCGAGCAGAATTTGAGGAGAATGAGGGAGGTTTGAAGTTGCAGCGGTGGATTTAGAGGCTTGCAGGGATGGAGTTTGAGAGGCGACGCGCTCCAGGAGCTGGATCTGGTATTCCTTTGTCAGACGAAACCTTAGCATGCGTGTTGAAGTATGTCGAGAATTGGCAGGACAGGGCCGCGGTCTCCCTCGTATGCCAGCAATGGCGGCGAGTGGATGGCGCTACTCGCAAGTTTGTCACGATTTCCTACATGTACTCCACTAATCCTGAGCTACTTACTCGGCGGTTCAAGCGCTTGGAAGGAGTGAAGATCAAGGGGAAGCCAAGGGCGGAAGAGTATGGTCTCCTCGTACCCAACTGGGGTGGCTATGCGGAACCATGGATTCGAGAGCTGGGAAGAGTTTACAGAGGTTTGCAGACCCTCCTGCTGCGGAGATGTCAGGTTTCTGACTCAGATTTGGAATTGATTGCTTCCTCGCCCTTCCATTCTGTCCTGCAAGTATTGCATCTGCACAAATGCGCGGGGTTCTCGACTTCCGGACTTCTTCCCGTTGCGAAAGCCTGCAGGTGGGTTCAATTTGGACTTCCCTAGGAAGCTTTTAACACTTAGAACATTAGGGTTGCATGTCATATCTAATTGCTTCATGGATTTAAATTATTTTATTCAGATCTTTAAGGACGCTGAGCATCGAGGATAGCAACGTAAACGATGAAGGTGGGGAGTGGCTGCATGTACTCGCCCGCCACAACACAGTCCTGGAGGTCCTCAACTTTGCAGTACTCGGTCTGGAAGACGTCGATGTAGCAGACTTAGCCCTGCTTCTGGAGAAGTGCAAATCTCTGGTGTCGCTCAAAGTCGGGGAGATTGAGCTTGTCGACATGGTTGGTGCTCTTGGAAAATCTTCTTCTCTCCTAGAACTCGGTGCCGGCTCTTGCAATTATCTCAACGACGAGGACAGCAGGGTATATGCTTCTATTTCGTTACCTTTGCAATTGACGTCCCTGTCGGGCCTGTGGTCAATGGGCGACTTCGGATTGTGCATGATTCTCCCCATCGCGCCAAACTTGAAGAAGCTCGACCTGAAGTTCACGTTCTTGAGCCGCAAAGCATACTGCCAGCTTTTCAGTCAGTGCCATTCGCTCGAAGAGCTTCAGGTATACGATCTCCTCTTATTTTTTCCTCCACTGATTCTTTGTAATTGAGTTGACTATTGTGGGTGCCGTGAACTGTTTTATAAAGATGCAACTCGTCAATACTCTGAATGATTTAAGCTAGATTGAAATTTATTCTGGATCAGATACGGAATGGAGTGGGCGACGAAGGCTTGGAAGTCCTCGGCAAGTCCTGCAAGTCCCTCCGCCGGCTCCGCATCGAGCACGACGAAGCAGGCGCTATTACACAACGGGGGGTTGTTGCAGTAGCTCAAGGCTGTAACAACTTGCAGCAGCTCGTCCTCTACGTCTCAGACATCTCCAACGCAGCCCTCGCCATGGTGGGACAAGGATGCCCTCACCTGACAGACTTCAGGCTTGTACTCACTGGAACCCAGCACGTCGTCGATCTTCCCCTCGACGACGGCTTCAAGCTACTCCTCAAAGGTTGTCCAAACATCTCCAAGCTCGCTGTTTATCTTCGTCATGGTGGCTTGACAGATAAAGGCATGAGCTACATGGGTGACTTCGGCAAAAACCTCAAATGGGTCCTGCTTGGTTGCACCGGTGAATCTGACATCGGGTTAGCGAATTTTGCCTACAAAGCTCAGAAGTTAGAGCGTTTGGAGATCAGGGATTGTCCGTTTGGTGAGGCGGGGCTTGTTGCTGCAGTCGTGGCAATGAGCTCGTTGAAATTCTTGTGGGTGCAAGGGTACAGAGCTCCTGAAGCGGGGTATCAGTTACTAGGATTGGCGCGGCCTTGGTTAAATATTGAGATTAGTTTACCGTCTGGGACTATGCCGGGGCAGTTGATCGCGCACTATGCGATCGTGGCGGCGAGGAATGATTATCCTCCTGATGTGAAGGTGCTGGTGGAGGAGACGGAGGAGTTAGAGGGCATGCTGCCGCCTTGTACGAACCGGAGGACTGTTGATCCTTGAACCTGGAACTCAGTTGCATTTATGTGGACTAAGATCCAGTTGCAGTTGTTTGCACTTGAGATAAAGTACAACTCCCTAGGGATGCCACACTTGTGGTTGCCAGCATTGCAACCGCTGCGACAGTCTTGATCCGCGGGTGGCGCATGCCGGTGCATACTCCGCTCAAGCATGCACCCACGCCAATGAGAGTTCCTTTACCTCGTGGACAACAGTCAGTTTCTTATGAACTCGGGCTTGATTACAGGTCATCTCTTAGTGCAAATTGTTTGGACGGTGTCTGTGTGGAAGTTGAGTTCACGGCTTCTACACCTGGGAAGTTTTTGATTGAGAAATGGCTGAGAAATCTTTACACAAGATGGAGACCTCGTGTTGCACTCTGCTTTGGCTTCACACGAGGGTTTAGGGAGGACTCTTTGTCCAGCATACGTGAAGGTGACGCGGATTCTTCAAGTAGTCTTCGGTTTCAGTAATAGAGATTTCATTTCCTGCGATTTTAGGAAAGCAAACAAACATGATAACAGCTTGAGTTGTAAATTGGTGTTTTTCTTAATCAACAAGGACCTAATAGTGTCAAGCTCGGCGACTACTTTGCATCAGTTCACAGTGCAATTTCACGTTCCTCCCATCTTGCCTGCGCTGTGATCCTGTGCCATCCATCGCCAGTGTGACCCTTTCTAATCTGATTTGAGCAGCAAGGAGCCACAGAACGGTGGGACTCACCTCAGCAGTGTTTTTTTCTTTGTATGAACAAGGAACTCGAATCAGTAAAAAATATGCATTGACTGAGGTTCTCTGTGATGGTAACGCACAAAAGAAAAGTGCCTTTTCAAAAAGTCAAAAAGCAAGGATTGTCCCCGTGTTTTTCTTCGTCCCTCTTCACTCTTTTCGGTCCTCTGTCTCATCTATTACTCACCCTCCTCTCATTCATCCTCTCCCGTCCCAAGGGTCCATTCCCAGTATGGCACTCCATCAAGGAACGAGGCTCCTCATTGGACATGCCACTTGTGGTGGAACGCTGGAATTGTGAAAAGCTCAGAGCTTGTTCTCTATTTAAGGCTCAGAAAGTATGTGAAGCAGAGAAGGTTTGGTTCTCCCACTAGGCCCTCAATGAGCAGAAAGTGGTAGAGGTACATTTTGGGTAAGCATGGTTGTTGGAGCAACTCGAGACTTTAAGAGAGGATTATTATTTAAGCTGCATGAAAGATATATAAAAAAAATAGGATCAAATGAAGACGTGGATTGTAACTTTTCGCACACTAATATTAATTTTTTTATTTAAGCTGCATGAAAGATATATAAAAAAAATAGGATCAAATGAAGACGTGGATTGTAACTTTTCGCACACTAATATTAATTTTTTCTTTCTTTCTTTTTCTTAATAAAATTTTCAACACAAATTAAATAGAGTGCACAACCTAGAGCGCTGGCAATGTGGAGCTCATTCTCGAAGGGAAGGAGGGAACCATCGACGAGGTTTAGGGTTTAAAGTGCTGCATCTGAGATCGACTTGCGATCTATCTCGTTGTGAAGTTCGTCCGGTGGATTAAGCCGAGGACCTAGTCAGCATTGTTTCAAGAACGATATAAAGTCAAATGAATCGGTGGAATGAGCTCGGTCAGGGTGCAGCTGTTAACCTCACAGGCTGTGCCTATCTGCTGATGCATACTTCTTGCGTCGCCACCACCATCCTCCCATACAAGCCATTCAATGCACTTGCTCTCCTCGGTAAGTCCAAGTGTGTCGCTGTCCAGAATATTCTAAGCTACGTTCTGGAAGGAGCAGCATTCGAGGAGCACACGTTTCGATAATCTATCCAATAAAAACCATCGAAGAACAGATGCAGATTCACAGTGGGGAATCATAAACTTTGTGACAGTCACGCCTGTTGCATTTCCACCAACAGTGAGATGGCACTACTGTGATGGCGTTGAGTTCAAATGCAGTCATCATGGGGTTCAGAATCTATCGCTTTTAGTCTAGAACAAGCTTTTCCTGCATTAAAAAACATGTGCTCAATAGCAACGTAGCTAACTAAAAAAAGTCACAAAAGTTAAAAATTCTGCTCATCTTCAAGTTTATAAATGTTCCGAACCAGAGGTTAAAAGCGGGTGAAAAGAATGTTCGAGGATTAGGGTCCAAAATTTGTCAATATCGATGATGGGGTTCCAATTGAGATCGTAGCTGGGCAGAAGTAAAAAGATTGTTGAAACTGCCAATAATTAGGAAAGAATCACAACAAAAAAACTAAGAATACACTCTTCAAAAAATAAAATAAAACTAAACAACAAACATTCGATGCTAGTGAACAACTTGCCTACATTACATGCTATCACGAAGAGGTTGCCATCAGAACATGTCTCTGGTGCAACGTAGTTCGGTGTGCCACGAGTTGCATGCAACGGGCAAAATTTTCCTCGTGTTACTGCTACCAAACCAAACCCTCCTCACAATCTCTTCATACTGCAAACAGAAAGAGTTCTGCAGTATTTGGAACTGGCTGTGTCGTCTAACAACTCAGTGATGAAAGCTTCACCCTGGAATGATTTTATGCCCCCAGGTCTATCAGTGAGAGGTCACTCATGCGACGACAGTGGCCAGCTGCTGGAAGTACCGGCAAGATCTCTCTTGATGCACCAAATCACAAACACTGGAATGTACTGATCGGTTTGATGATCCTACACAAGAAATGCAGCGCCGCGCAGCAATCAACCAAGTAGTTGGACTCCAATCCAGGAAACTTACACTACTGAAACTCTACACAGTAGTTTCCAAAGCTTATTCCAAGTTCGCGTTAGAAATAGGGTGGCACTCTGATCACATGCTGACCTCTGTTGCCTTCATCAACTAGAGGCCTTATGAAACTGCCACTCACCGACAGTCCAATCTTGCAGTCTCACTCAGAGTCAAATCTTGTGTTTCGGTGAGTGTCAAATCTTGTGGTCTTACCGGCAGTCTCTAGGGCCTCCTGCCACGAATGGGCAATGTTATTCTTGGACTCTGCCTGCACTCGCTCAGTGATCCCAAGAAGGCAAAGTCCATCCATTTTTTAAAAAATTTCTATCATATGTATGTAAGGACATAAAGCACCTTATGAGATCAAAAATAGACCTTTTTAGTATAAAGGCAAGTGACTTTTCATAGGAGATCAAATAACTTTCTATTAACTTTCTAATTGTTGACAGCATTAAATGTAGCCGATGCTCTCCATGCTATTTACTGTAGTCTACAGTATTTACTATAGTAAATACTATAGTGAACACTGTAGTATTTACTTTAGTGTTCAGAATGTAGTGGGGAGACACTATTATCTTCTCCCCTTCTCTTTGTACAAGGGATATAATCCTATCAATAAACTCACTTCTATGTGTGTGTGTTTACATATGTGTGCATATTACTTCTAGCTACTATTGTCTCTCTTTCTCTAAAACATTCTCAACACTAATAACTTCTTATTGCAAGTCAAATGTCTATCAATATATCAATAGAGTGCTCCATCCACCTTTTCAATTAAGGACAAGCTATTGGCTCTACTACTAAAACTAATAATGTGTCAAAAAATTGAGAGAAGGTTTTATATTTTAACTTCCATTTTGTCTATTGATCAAGCATGGAAGGAGGCTCTTAGTTAGGCTTTAGTGAACAAAAACATCTAGTTTATCAATAGTTGATGTTTTGGTAGTCAAAGACTTCTAAATCATTGACATATCTTGTTGCATAGTATAATACAATGCAAGTTCAAAGATTATAAATGTGAATTGTAAAAGAGGCAATAGAAGAATAGACACTTATCATGGATATATGTATTTATTCTAATAATTACCTATATGATTAAGTAAAAATAAATAAATATAGATTAATTTCATAATATCTTCTAGAAAATCTTTCTAAAAGCTTCATAGACATAGTTTTGATTTTATATGTGTTTGTAGTTAATTAATAGGCTAGAAACTTGGTCAATAAGTTAGCCACATGATACATGTATTTGTAGCTTGTGGAACAAGTTAACTATGTGGCGCACATATAGAAAACTTACTTTATAAGTTAAGTCATGTGTCTAGCAAATTCAACACTTGTCAGAGGTCTTGTAGAACATTGCCATATAGCTCCTAGTTAGATAATTTACATGGAGGCAAGAGTAAAGCTTTCTTCACTCTTATCAACGTCTTTTTAGTCCTTAGTCATATTTCAAGACTTTCTAGTCTTTTTGTCTTTGGCAGTAGCCATTCTAGTTCAATGTATAACTATCTTTGGGTGATTTTCTAATCTTTTTAAGTAATACAAGAGTGTATTGGAGATTTCTTTTCTTGAGATTCATGTCTTTGACAACACTAAAATATCACACATATAAAAAGAAGTTATATATTCTCAAGAATGTTACAAATGATAAAATAGATTGATAAATATACTTTGAAGAATATTAAAATCTAAAGAACAATGTACTTATTTAACTTTATGAGATTATTATAATGTATGTAAGGATGATGAAGTTCATTTAGAAAAGAACTCATTATAGTAGAACAAATATCAAGGACATGAATCTTGAAGAAAGAAATCTTTAATACACTCTTATGTCACTCAAAAGAACTAGAAAGTCATTCAAAGATGATATGGTATTAAACTAGAATGGCTATTGCCAAAGATAAGACAATTAAAAAGTCTTGAAACAAGACTAAAGACTAAAAAGATATTGACAAGAATGAAGAAGGCTTCATTCTTGCCTCCATATATACTCTTAACTAGGAGCTACATGGCGATGTCTTATAGGACCTCCAAAATGTGTTGACTTTGCAAGAGACATATCTTAATTAATAAAAGATTTATTATTCAGAAAAATTATAAAAATATCATAAACTTAGAATTTATTTTTAATATTAATTTGTTTTAAGAACATTTTAATAACATTAAAATTCAAAGAAATAAATTACAATATTTTTTTCTTTGAATATTTTAATAAGATGAAGTTATATAAAAAATTACAAGTTATCAATTACCAATTTTTTTCTAATCTTAATTTGAATTGTAATATTTAACATTATAGTTTTAATATATAAACAAAAAAATGATGGATTATCTTATATGATTTTTTAAAATATTTTATTATTATATTTAATTATTATATATATATATATATTTGTAAAAATATTTATCAAAAAATTTATAGGATATTATAATTTGATACAAAAAAAATAAAATTTATTTTATGTAATTTTATTTTTAACATTAATAATTAGAAATTATCACAAAAAATCATAGTAAAAAAATTATCTTTGAAAATATAATATTTATTATTCATAAAAAGATTTTTTATTTTTTTATTTTTTAAGTAGCAAAATGAATTTTGAAATAGTTCAAAATTTAAATCTTTGTTTTTTGAATTAAATCACACACATACACTAACTAACTAACTAACTAACTAACTATATATATATATATATATATTTATATTGATGTAGTATAATTTTTTTATTGAATTAAAATTGTGATAAATTTTTCTTTCCAAAGGTTAATGAAGAATCAAAACATGTTTTAATATTAAATAAGTAAGTATTTTTCTTATAGTTTTAATAGTAATATGTTTTTCATATTACTAGTGAATTTAATTTTTTTTATATATGTACGTACATATACATATATATATATATATATATATATTTATATATAATAGAGTTAGTTCATGCGTTGATTTTGAAAGTAAAATAATGATGTGGATCTTAATAGTACTCCAATTCTAGTAGGATGATCATTAAAAGATATCATAAATGCTACAGATTGCTTTTGTGTGATGTTGATTAAATTTGTATGGAGCACCTTGCCTTCTGAAGGTATCACAATACTCTACAAAATAACATGCAAAATGTTGCAACGTTATAGTAAAATGATAATATTAAAAATCAATCTCTCACATGATAAGTTTGCTTGACAATGCATAGATTTCCATGTAATTGTATTTTACAATCAATAAACTTGTAGTAAATTTTGCTGTAGATATCTTGCTTAATGAGTAGAAATCTTGCTCGTGCAATGTTGCCAAAATTATTTACTAATTTAGAAATATTAAATATATATAACATTTCGAGCACTCCATTCCCTTGACTTGTGGCAGAGTCACCCTTTGGCCGCTAGAACCGACCGTGTTGTGCTCCTATCGCCACGACCTTATACCCGCTGAGCCCTTTACCCGCTCCTCACCCTACAGCCGTTGGGACCTATACCCCTCCTCGCCCAAAAACTGCTGGATCCTTTACCCGCGGAATTCTACACACTCTATTAACCCTGCAACCGCTCGATCCTATACCCGCTGGCACCGCGTTTGCAGCCCCGGCGCTCTATTTTGGACGGATCCACCGTCACCGACGTCGGCATGGCGATGCCCCTAATCCGACCACGAGCCCATCGCATGCACGCGACGCAGCCCTGGCACTGCACGCCACAATCGCACAAACAATCGGTGCATTTTGGCCATCTGGGTCCCTTGCACTACACAACAGCCCCACTTCACTGTCAATCGATCCTCCCCCCTCCCCCACCTTCTTTGCTGACGATCCGGAAGCATATTTCCGTGATTAATCCTGCTTGAGTTGGCTGCGCATCGGTTACCGATCTCAATTCATCAGGTGGGTTCACGTCCAAATTTCACTTGGATGTCTTTTGAAGTTGTTCATGGTTTTGGTCATGGAGTCGGTCGTTTTTTCTGAAGGTTGAATTCCCTCGTCGTTGGGATTCATGAGAGTGATTAGTCAGGGGATTGATTCAGCTCATGAGGGGGTCTTAAATTTGAGTGACTGATGTTTGGAGTGGATCGTTGCATTGTGTGGGTGTCTTGTGCGTACTAGGGTATGGCAGATTCTTCCACTGTTTCTATATTTTGAAGTTGATGTATGAGTTAGGTGCGGCATATTGAAAGGCTGCCGTTTGTTTTGGTAGAGTTGAATGATAATAGGTTTCTCAGAAATCTCCGTCAAGCTGAAATCGTCGTATACTCTTATTGTAAGGTTTAGATTTTCGTGACGTTTACGGTCATGTTTAGCCATAACGTTAACGCTGAACCAAGGTAGTCAAGTCCACCTCTTGAGTGTGAGCATGTCATGGTTGACCTTGATGTTTTTCATTGAGCCGATTGTTTATGTGATTAGCTGGTAGCAATTTTTGGGTAGTTGAAATGGCTGGTGTGGCGAAGATCTAATTGATTTTTGGAAAGGTACAAGTGCTTTTATCACCTTCGTCGAGGGTAATCAATCCCTGATATTTTAGGCTCTTGGAAGAGCTGGGAGGGTGTGATATAAAGAATGTCGGACGCCGTGGTAAACGGTTTGGCAGGAGCTGGGGGTGGCTTTGTTGCGCAAGTGTTAACTTACCCCCTTCAAGCGGTGAGTTGGCACGAATTCGTTTTATCATTGCCAAGGGAAGAACCGTACATGAATTTTGAAGTCGTATGTTGTAATGCAATCACGTTCAGTCGTTTGTCTCCCCAACACACACTCACACACACAAAAACTAAAAAAGAAGAAAAAGAAACAAAAGAAACAGTATGCAAGATAAAAGGAGAAGGAAAAGCGTGTGAAGCTATAAAAGCCTCATAAGATTTGCATATGTATTGAGAGAGAGAGAGAGAGAGAGAGAGAGAGAGAGAGAGAGAGAACAACAAAAGATTCAGAATGTATATATATATATATATAGATCAATGTTCATTCTCTGATTCTACAACCTCAGTTCTTGGCTCATTTCATAATTCTGATTTGTTAAGGATGTTGTATGGGCTTTTTAAAAATCTATGTTTGAAATTAGAACCTTTACCTATGGAGAATCTGTCTTCAGGTTAATACCAGACAGCAGGCAGAGCGGAAGGTAAAGATCAACGTTTCATTGCAAGATGTGGAAGCTGCTCTTCCAACTTCTAATGGATATCCAGCTCAAAAGGAGCAAAGGGGAACCATTCGAGAAATGTTCCAGGTGTGTCTCTGATGCTCACTGGGGTTTATTTGACACTATTCATGTGGTTCTTCATCGTCGTGTTCAATTTCTTCTAAATGCGTTGAGTATTGTGTGACAGGTCATTCAAGCGGAGGGGTGGGGAGGTCTATATAGGGGCCTCATGCCATCACTAGTAGGCACTGCTTTGTCACAGGTTTGATTTAATTTATCCTAGTTACCTTGGAGGAAGTTCTTTGTATTAGAGCTCTGATTAAGAGCTTCCGATGTACTCGTTATTGTTTGGGCACCTGCCGGGGGAGGTTTCCAATCGCAGTATGTTTTCGACACTGCAGGGCGTCTACTACTATTTTTATCAACTTCTGAAAAATGAAGCGGAGGCCCGATCTCGGAGATCATGGAAGATGGGTAATGCAGATACCTCAGTAGGGATGTTATCCTCCCTGATTATAGCAGCGATTGCTGGGTACGAAGTCATGCCACTGCCTTCCCTGCAAGATTTTCATTGAAATGATTTTCCCCCTGCTAGAGGCTACATCATTACGAGTTCCATTGCTGGTTGTATTTCAAAATGTAAGCTGCATTACTACAGTGCGTAAGCTTCAATGTTTTTCTAATGTTCATTTTATTATGGGAGTGCATCGGTTTATGTAGATTTGCTTCTGCTGAGGTAGCTAAGGACTTAAAATTTAGGTTATCAGTTTTTATAATCTCATGTATGCAGATGTGCAAATGTCTTGTTGACGAATCCTATTTGGGTGATAGTCACGCGTATGCAGGTAAAATCTCTCATTCCTATTCCATTCTCCATCTATATCCCCATTGGGATCTCATGGTGATTGCTACTATTGCTTTCCTGCTTGAATACGCAGCATTTAAATTGTGTTTCTGAGAGAGCATGGATCTCATCTGATATGAAATGCAATTCTTTTCAGTGGTCTTGAGTTAACATATCACTTTCTGCATCTTTGTTATTCTCTGACAAGTATTTACCAGACTCAAGCACAGGCTCATAAGGGGTCTGAGATTGTTGCAAATCACGTGAATACCACGTCTTCGAATTATATTGTGGTGCCCAGCATTGATTCGGAGACCACTTCGACTGCCACTTCATCTCCATCCACCAAAGGGCAAGGAACTGTTGATACAGTAATGCCTCTCTGCTATCCTCGTTTTGTTCAGGTTTTAGTATTCTCGTTCTGGTCATCAGAATGTGTCAATATATTGAGGTTTGTCTTGCAATCCGCTACAACCTTGTTCCCTTTAAGTATTAATTTTTTATTTTAAGAATATGGGGTTTAATTGTATTGCTCGTCACGATCGTAGGTCAAGGATTTATATAAGGAAGCCGGAGTGCGTGGATTCTGGAAAGGCGTTTTGCCTTCCCTAATTATGGTCAGTGTGTACATGTACACCATTCGGATGTTTTAGGACGAGGAATGTGCATCCGTTTGATTCGTTTTCGATTCCAAGCTTCTTAGATTTGAAAGTTCTGCATTGAAGACTGTGTGTTACAAAAATATTTCAAGATGTATTTTTTTGGAAATTTGGTGTCGCATGAGTAGAACAGCTGTACAAGGATGGCATGAAGATGGAGTTGTCGTTAGCTGGTATATTATACTTACTTTATCAGTGGGTATCTCAAATACGTGATGTAACAGGTTTGCAATCCAGCGATTCAACTTATGCTTTACGAAAGTATGCTAAGCAGACTGACCAGAAACAGGAGGGTAACTTCTAGGGGTACAAAGCACGTGTCAGCCACCGAGGTACTGCTGTCCATGTCCCATGTTCTTTAATGTCACAATTTCTTCTGTAAAGTTTTAGTCTTAGGTTGGCTGATTATTCTCTCCTATCGTTAATTCTGCTATGCTTGAATCATCTAGATGGTAAATAACACGATTGAACGAATTCGTTTCTGCTTTCTATGTTGCAGTACTTTTTGCTTGGAGCAGTAGCAAAACTTGGGGCTACAGTGGTGACGTATCCTTTGCTGGTTGTGAAGGTGAGTGCCGTTTTCTTTACATGGAAATGGAGGCAATGTTAATGAATCTCCGATTTGATTTAGGCATTTACCGAGGTTGCAAAGGTGAAACCTGATGATGAATGCTGAACGTGGTTGGCAGTCTCGGCTTCAAGCAAGGCAGGAGATAGCAGGAGACAAATCTTTGCAGTATACTGGTACAAGATTATCATGAATTTTACTCCTTTACAAATTACAGTTTGTGCTGAGCCTGTTTGTTTAAATCATGTCAAATCTTATTTCTTATTGGTGAAAATTATACTTTCATTCCACAGTAAAAGGGTCCAAGCATGCACATTAGCTCAGTCTTCTTTGGCTTTATTCAAACGAAATGTTTGTCAGGATTTCCTGAGGGTTGCTTTCCGATGTGTGCCATGGACTCAGGCACATGGGATGCTATTCTGAAGATGATACGGCACGAGGGAATCTCAGGCTTCTACAAGGGAATGAGCACCAAAATTGTGCAAAGTGTGGCCGCAGCAGCGATTCTCTTCATGATTAAGGAGGAGCTTGTCGGAGCGTCTCGTGCATTGGTGACGAAGGAGGTGAAAATACCAAAAGTTGCTAGGTTGAAAGATGCCTCATAACTACATCCCAGTTCTACCAATCTTCGTGCTTTTCGTGATTAGCACGTTTGATCACATGCGGATCAAACAACCAACCCAAACTTCCTCAGACACCATTTACTGTAGGGTGAACTTGATCGATAGTTCAGATTAGGCCAAATTGGGACACAATCACATCTCTTCTTGCAAGGTCATCAAAACCCATTTGAAGAGTCAGCTGTACAGAATCTGATCAAGTATCCATGCAGATCAGCAGTGCAAGTGAGCACATTACTCATGATATCACTAACTTAATACATTCTGGCATAGTGACAGCAATGTCCCCACAAACACCTCATTCATTGGGTTATATCCCAAGATTTCTCTCTCTACATATCATGTCATTGCAACGTGGACGTGCGTTACCGTGTCCTAGCTTTCAATGGCAAAAACTTTCGTCCTGTTGCATCGATTTTCGATTCCTTTTGGCACAACCTCTGAAATCTCAGCATCTGGAACTTGTGTGTGTCTCTCTCGCACTCCCCTCGAGTACTGAGGACCCAGTCTGGGGTCAAAGGCCACCAATGTAGCCAAAAGCAACAACACAGGGTGGTTTTGAGGTGTTCCCATGTGCAGGAGGACGCTCACGCAATGCATTGCAATGGCGGACCCACCTGGAGTAGTGGAGCCAGCTGAGACGACAAGAGTAGGGAGCAAAGGTGTTGGCGGGATCAGGGAGCACATTGATGAGGCACATTCAATGGTGGCTACCACAATTGCTCTGACAGGAACAACAACAACAACAACAAGGAGGGGACACCGGGTGGAAAAGGTCTTGACTCAGTCCTTCCTCATGTTGATTGTGGGAGGTTTGTGACTGACTAACTGGCACTTTCATGTACCATTTGGCTTGTGGGTACTCCCTCCCTCCCTCCTTCCCTTGCTTTGCTTTGCTTGGTGTATGCAACAACTCACTGTGATTATTCTTTATTGGTTTCTACAGTGTTGGCATCAGAGTAGGAGAATGAGCTTAGGAAAAACCTTTGTTGGAAAATATATTTAAGCATAGTCTTTTTTTCTGAGAAGATTAAGTGTCCATTGATATTTATTTGGACACTGCAACGTTTTTCTGCAATGGAAATCTTTACAGTGGTCGATGTTTGTGCCATGGAGCATGGATATTCCATTACTCAATTCTTGCACTTTTTGCTTTAGAAAGGAAAACATTACTATATATATATATATATATATATATATATGTATTTTCCTCATGAATGATGTATTTTTTAGAGAATTGTGACATAAAGAATGCTTGTTTATTGTAAGATATTCCATAGTCTATTTTTTAATCCCATTCTTTTATTTTTATTTTGACACTCAGTCGTGATTCAATTGTTGCAATAGATAGGAGCACATGAATAACTTATTTATATTCACAACATTTTTATTTTATTTTATTTTATTTTATTTTTGTAGAAATGACCGTATGAGTGGAATTTTTTAGTTTCTTACTTCTTTTTGTTTTTTTTTTTTTTTTTTTTTTTTTTTTTTTGTATCTTGGTAATTTTGAATATTTGTGAGTTGTCAATTTTTAAGAACAAGAAGTTATACTTAATCAAGAAATTTGAAAAATAATTATTACACAATTAGGTCTCATTTGTATCTTTAATATAAATTTTATTAAAGCTTAAAATTATCATTTTCGTTTTTATTTTTTTAATGTTGCTTCCACTAAAAAATTTCAGATTTATTTTTTAAATAATTACTATATTGAAGAAAAATCATAAGTTTAAAAACATTTTAATAATTTTTTGGTGTTAAATAAATATATTAAAAAACTTATTTTTTACTATAACATATTTAAAAAAGAAATATAATATTTAAATTATTCATACTTTATTATTATTGTTATTATTGCAAAAAATATGTTTTATTTGACCAAAAATATTTACTTCTAATCAAATTTTTAGAATAGAATATCTATCAAATAAAAAATATTTTAAGATAAATATATATATATATATATATATTAAATTTATTTATTTGTAATTTTTTCTCTTACTTCTTTATAAAAGTGATTTTTTTAAAAGTCTTTAAAATACAATTAAAGTTATTGGATTGCATGTCCATGCATTGACTTAAACAACAAAAGATAATTGTTAGTCAAGCTTAAAGAACCATATCCACTTTTCCAACAAAAACTCTAGAAAGTTGATATTGTTTTTGTGTAAATATGAGATTTTAAAACTATTTTTTGGTAAAAGGGTAGCTTCTAAGTAGTGTATGTACTTTGGCATGAGCTTTCAACAACAAAGAGAGTCAAATAAGAAGAATAGATGGGTGGAAAATTCTCTGAGAAATAGGAGACCAATGACATAGTACCAATATGAAATCTACTAGAGAATACAACTTACTAGGAAGGAAAAACAAAAAGCAAAACATAGTTTATAAATCATGTTAGAAGAAGGTACATAAAGCCTCACAAGACCGCCTTTATTTTTTTCCATACTTTGGCATCTACCATAGACATCAATTGCTCATTCAATCATTGTTTTCTTATATACCCACATTAATCAACTTATGAGAATTTCTAGATGTCATTATTCTTGTTTAATGTCCATAATTAAGAACATGGTAAGCTTCTCCTTTGTGGAAAAGAATACCCAAACATTTGTTGGAACAAAAACCATCCTCTCAAAAAGGTTAGAACCACATCACACAAAAATTATAACAAGTTCTATTTATTTATTTATTCATTTATTTTATCTTTTTTTCCTCATCTAGAACCCTCCCTATACTCAAAATGCTAAGTAGGCTTGGGGGCTTGCTTGAGTTGGGTATGAACCCATGAGGGTGGCAGTGGTGCCATTGTTAGCATGAACAATGGAGAGCTATCTATGTGCATCCCTTTGATGAGTGTATCAAAGGGGATCTGATTTGATTGTGCATGCCACACACACACACCCTCGTTCTTCTAAATTCATCAAAACCCAACTTTCATGACGATGGCCCCCTTGACATTCATGTGATCTTCAGAATGCCTCCCAAACCAAAACAGATAAAAGGTTTAAAAATAAGAAGAAGAAGAAGAAGAAGAAAGAAAGACATATCAAGGAAAAGTGTAAAGTCCAACCTCACGGCGCATGTTTCATCCATCATTCATCCATTCATGCGTCCACGTCACGCTTGTCCATGATGGCGACCATCCAATCCCAAACCGTATATTAGCCATGTGGATGATTATCATCCATTTAGTTGTGTGCATCGCGCTGGTCTGGAGGAGTCAATGTGCCAGAAGGGAGGCGAGGACAAAGGGGGGGTCACTCGCGTCGATGGCGCTGTAAGGGTGATGCTTTGTGCGCAGGTCGCGACAGGAAAAGCGAGTGAGAGCTCCTTTGCAGTAGTCTCAGTATCCTTCGGTCTTTCAGTCGGAGCCCCCTCTCGCACGCTCTGTAGTGTCTGTTTGTTTGTGCCGCTCGCTGTCTGTCTGTCTGTCTGTCTCTCTCTCTCCCTCTCGATATAAATTTCGATATAACTTTCTCTTTGTGTCTCGGTGTCTCTCTCCATGCACAATGGCGAGGCACAGCTTGGATAGTCCACGCAACGGGACAGAGAAACGGTTAATTGTAGGAGAGGGAATAACTGAAACAGACAGACAGACCGCGTCCCTTCATTCATCTCTTCACTGACGGTCGGCAGTCTTGTGTGGCCCCACCCCTCCCTCCTTCGCACGCCATCACAGACAACGCGTATAAAGCGGGAAGAATAAAGAAGAGCAAGTGAAGTAGGGAAAGTCATAGAGAGTATTAGTGAGAACTTCATTTTTGCATTGCGTAAGTATCCATTAGGATGGCGCACTCGGTAGGTTCCTGGATAATGTGGGAGTTGTACGGTGGATCTGGTTAGCTGAGTGCGAGGTCTTTGCATGAACTAGATTGCTAACTCGGGGAGCTGGAGGCTTACGGGATATTTGAGTAAACGAGTACGGTTATATTGCCGCTTTGAAAGAGTCCGCAAGAGTATTGTCATTAGAGTAGGTTTGCCATGAACACGGTTGCAAGCTGATTAGATCTTTCGTCCATGATAGGGTTTGATATTCTCGGTAATGGCTGGAATATTACAGCGGTCGATTGATTTTGAGTCCTCAATCAGCACATTGTGTTTCCAAGCGTCAGAGCGTTGCAATGGCTGCGAAGTACAATGAAGCTCAAGAAGTCGCAATAACATGCACTTAGACTGGGATCACTTCTAAGGCATCCATCAATTGAGTACTAGATTTGAGAGCACTTGGAATCTTCAATAAAGAGTAATGTTGTGATAGAAGGCATAACATTTTTTCAGAAATCCTGGAGATGTATTTACCACACAAATCACGATCATCATTGACTACATCCTGACGGAGAGTGACGGTGACCGAGCTAATAACAAGCTTGTGGAGCCTCAATCACAATTCTATCAATTCAAGTGCTAGTGTTTTAACAAATTAACTTAGCATCTATAGTTTGTGTGTGTGTGATTGTCACGGCCATAATCATGTAAGCTAATAATTACATATAGAAATAGGTAGAAGTAAGTAAAAGTAGATAAAAGTAAGTTAATTCTATAATATTTAATATAGAAGCTTCGTAGAAACTTCCTAGACGCTGCTTTGACTTCATAGGTGTCTTTAATTGACTTTTTGGATTAGAAACATGGTCAACAAGTTGGCCATGTGCCACACATGTTGTTAGCTTGAAGATCAAGCTAACTATGTGGCCTACACATAGAAAAACTTGCCTTGTAAGTCAAGGCATGTGTCCTACAAAGTCAACACATATTGGAGGTCCTATAGAACGTCGCCACGTAGCCCCTAGTTAGATAGTATATATAGAGACAAGAGTGAAGGCTTCTTTACTCTTGTCAACTCCTTTCTTGCTTCTAATCCAGGTTCAAGAGTCTTTAGTTTCTTGTCTTGTGGCAATAGCCATTCCAGTTTCCTTTTAATATACATACTTGTTTATATTTTGACTTATTATATCGAGATAGCCTTTTTGTGTATATTTTCCCTCATCGAGTCTTTGTCTTTGACAGATTGACAAGAGTACACTTACAATATCAGAGCTTTGTTTTTTCTTGAGTAAGAGTGGATTACCCCTTTGTCTTGACAAGACATAAGCGTATTAGAAGTTTGCGGATTACCCACTTCTAAACTGATATTGTTCTTAGTATCTTCTTTGTTATCAAGTCTTTCTTTTTTTTTGTCTTGAGCAATATCAAACAAATTTTTCTTCTTAGTGTCATTATGGCAGAGCTTGTTGAAATGAAGAGTGCAATGGCACAAATGCAAGAGCAAATGAGGGAGTTAATGCTTGCGATGCATCAACTCAATTCACCAACACAGGAAAGAACAAGAATAGCAGAAAGAGGGGATATAGAGATGATCGGAGCTGCTTCAACATCTACAACAAATCACGTTCTTTCTCCAATTGTACA